TTTTCCCATTTCAAACCACGGGATGTTACCCCCGAGATTCTGAAGTGTTTCTTTCTGTTTATGTCAGCTTATACACGTTCATATTGAGCATAATTTATATTTAAGATAAAAGGCAAATTCCCTGGAGAACATCACGTGGTCTGAATTAGGAAAACAAAACATACCAGCAAGCTAACTAAAAAGGTCTATTTTCTAGAGGTACGCACAGTTTTTCACATCCACCCATAACTCCAAATCGCCCTCACGCGGGTTACTTGACTTTGTCATTATTACAGTATAGCGAGATAACAAGAGAGAATACCGTTAAAGTCCAAAAAAAAGCCCCTCCATGTACAAGCCCCTCCAAATATAAGCCCCCCAAAACTCGTAACGCAAAAACGGCCCTCCGTTTAATCGCCCCTCCAAATATAAGCCCCCCGGGGGCTTCTACTTGCAAATTGCCCTCAAATACAAAGTAAAACAAATTAAAGCAAAAACGGTAAATTTCCTTCCACCTGTAAGGCTAGCCCAATCGATTTTAAAACGCAGAATTTCCCTCCGTAGATAAGATTAGCCTCTCGGAATATAAGCCCCTCCAAAATTAAAGGGCCTTTGAAAAATATAAACCCCGGGGCTTACTTTCGGAGATTTTACGGTTATCTTTTGGAGGTAATGATCTCTCCTAGTTGTTAAGGGCCGCGTGTGCTGTGTTTTCCAGGCATGCAGCGAATTTCAAGGCCCTCTTACGTTCTTGTGCCTCACACTTTATTTTAAAAATTTACTTGAAAGCATTGAAACAGACGTTCATTGGCTATTGCAATTTTTTCAGCAAAATAGCTCATTTCCTTAGCTTTATTTTATTAGTCTTCGACTCTATTGTTGGTATGTACGTGTGTACTGATGTTCAACTTTTGACTACGATTTTTCCTACGTTAGTTTTACCTTCTATGATTATCGGAACTCGCTCCTTGGCCTAACAAAACTTCGATTATCCAAATAAGATTTTAAAAGAAGTCCTAAACATAAAATGCGAAATAAAACCTTAAAATAGGACCGTGTCGAGACGTATTTTGAAGATTGCACATGCCACTCAGGAGCCCATGCACATGTCGGCTAGCCCCTGAATTGTTGTACGTAAGGGAAAAAATGCCGTGAGAGTGAGTTACCCTGCTCATACAGAGTCGCTAAACAACGCCCAGGATATGAGGGGAAGAGGATGCTCGTCATCTGATCCTCATAGCTGATCATCAGGACTTGGGCGTGGGGAATACCTAGTTGAAAAGCAAACAAACAAACAAACTTTGTCATACTCATCATAGCCTGCAGAGCAGGCGTTTCTAAAGACCGAACCTCTGAGGAAACCCGTCAACCTCTCCCGTTTGGAATCAGTTTTTGACTCGCCACAAGTATGTCTGTTTATGTTTCAACGTCCATGATGGCAACGTTCGCACTGCAAAATACACCTGCACTGCATGCAAGCTACACTCATCGGTGTATGGCCCCCTTAACTTAGAGGTCAAATAAAGCCCGAGCCACGCCCAGCTTAGTTTTCCTTTATCAGGGTCTAAATCAAATTTTCTATCAAGCATATGCATGCACGTCCCCTTCCTTTGAGAGACCTACCCCACCCCCCTCCACTGAATCGAACAACATCGCATCTTACAACCGAGGCGAACACATGATTCGACGACCAGTCGGTTCGCCTCATACTGGCTACGGCCCCGATATGATTTGCGACCAGTAGGAGCACAACAGTTCTTGTTCGAGCTTGAGTTCAGGTGAATTTCAGCTGGCTCTTTGAATCGCTTCTTCTCCGTACAGGCATAAGCTATAAAAGTTTTGTTTAATCCTTGACGAAAGGTAAGGAAATCACGCTAAAGACTGAACAGAAAAGCAGTTAAAAAAAAGAAGAAAGAAATGAAATGAAATGAAAGTACTGACAAACGAGCACTAAAGACAAGCCAACAAACATTTGTCATAGGAAAATATGACTTATGAAAATTCAAAAATAAATATGAAAATAGAACCGTTCACAGATCTATTTAATGCAGGGGGCCACCCTTCGTGATTATTCTTTGAGATTCGTTGTGAGTCAATTATATTGTATTAGATGAAGGATCAATAAAAGACTATTAAAAGAAGAGGAGTAAGTGAGTTATCGGAATCAAGCAAAGGAATTAATCCTATCCTCACACATTTCATTCGGCCTCTGGCTCATCTGATAACCATGATAATAAGCAAGGGAAACTTTTTGTTCTGCGAAAAGTCTCAGCAATAAGCCGAATACCCTTCTGTGGCTACAAATTTGGAAATAGCTGTCTTGAATTTGTGGAAAAATCGGTGAATGTAGCTTGATATGGTTTGTTTGGTGAATGAGTAGGCATATAATTTTTAGCAATGACCTTGGGACTATTTTAAGAGTCTAGAGAGGTTATAGTTAGCGCGATCTTTCGTCCGCACCCTTAATTTGGAGAAACACGACATATTTGGGTCATTTTAATTCAAGGCTTCTCAGTTCCACTTTCCGCTTTTAGCGTGCGCTGGAATAAGTCGGAGGACAACGATTATTTGAAACACAGTTGTAGAATGAGTCCCTGACAGAATGCATTTTTTGAAGATATCGAGAAAAATGGGCACATACACTTTACCTCCTATCTCTTAAACAAAATGTGAAGGAGAAAACATTTATTTACGCGAAATACTTATACTTAGCCACGACCTTCGAAGATTGAAAGCCCTGCTAACATATTTTGCGGTCTCCCACAAATGTTGTGATCAAAATAAGTCGAAGGGTGAAGTTTCTTTTTCTGTCGAGTTCCGAAACTGGGGAAAAGAACATTCATACATTTATAATCTTCACCAATCGCAAAGGCGTCCAATAACTCTCGGAAACCTGCTTTGGTTACCCTCTGAATATCTTTTGCAAATCGCAAGCTTTCAAAAGGCACATTACAGGATCATACCTTTATCGCAGTGGAGGTGTATTGACAGCGACCGGCCGGCGCCTGGGAGGTCGCGGGTTCGAATACCCTAAGGGAATCAGACTGTTCTTTCTCTTTTAACACGAACCTTATGACATCACGTGATCCATTCTCCATCTCGACCGCTTCTCAACCTATTTCAATGCTTTCTGAAAACAAATAAAGGAGATGAAACGATCAACATACCATGCCAATTGCGGATGAAACAAGCAGACACCTTACAGTAGTAAGTAGTTATTTCCAACTGAGCTTTATTTTTTCAAAAAAAAAACCGATAAAGTACAGGCCCTACGAGGAGCGGAGGTAAAGACCTACCGTAAAGCGTGCCAAGAAATTTTCGTGGGAGTTTACTGTTGCAGATCGTTGTTTTTTGTACGTTGCCCGAGCTTTTTTTTGCGATTAGGAAAGCTGGACTGGTTTTCTTGCTGGGCGGATTTATATTTGTGATTTTCAGGCAGCCGCATTCCGATTGGAAATTTGTTATTCAAGCTTTGAGTATTATTATTATTAATTGATTAAACCATTTTCCTACTGGCAGAGGCCGTTTCGGCTGCCTAGTAATTGAACAAATCGCTCTGAAAATTCAAAAGTAAAACAACGTTGATCGATATCATATCATGATATTAACATCTTTATATTGCCCTTCTGTCGCTGATTGCTCCACTGATAACGTGGAATTCATTAGCAATAACTACGGTACCAATTGATGCACCACGATCTCCTGAGTTATCGCTGGCATTTCAAGTTCTTCTTCAGACCGGAACTCTAAATTTAATACCACAAGGCCCATCCAATTTGAGCAAACTAGAAAGCGGGGTAGTTATCGCTTCGATTGTCAGTTTTATATAAAGATGAAAGCAAAAGGAGGTTGAGAATGAACCAGAAATTGAAAAAAATCACTGATGCAAGTGATATATGTTTTTCCAAGAGCCATAATCTTGTTTTTTCAGATTACCACGTAGCAAAAAAAGCTCCTCGAAAATTCCCCTTGCCAAATCTTTCTCCGCGCAGAAATTATAATTATGTCAGTTGTGGATAGTCTTAAAAGACGAAATATAGACCACCACTGTGAAAAGCCCACAAACGACGCGTTTGTGTTCTCTTAAATACATGATTTACGACCAATGATTTAATAAATGCAAAAATGACGCACTAACCCCATAATTTACTAAGTACAACACCTACGCATTGTGCTGAATTAAACTGGTTTTTTCATCTTACTTTGACAAAACACCGCACTCAACTAAATACAAAAACTGAATGTTGTATTGAACTCGCCGAGAATGGCAAAAAAAAGAAACTCCCAGAAAAAACTAAAAATCGGCTTTCAGTAATAATAGCAAAAATTAGTAACCGCAAAACTAGAAAAAATCGCCGATCCGCAAAATTAAACCCCCACAAAAATTTAAATAACGCAACACAGTAATATTTAAGAGCACAAGTTCATATTCATCATTCGCTTGTTTTAGTCGCATTTCAATACCAGCCCTTTTTCAGCCACCCACTCACCACTCATATATGTTTTGTATCAAACATTTCGCATATTCAGTTTGAAATCAAAATTACTACGATTGCAAGAGAGATTCTGACTACGAAAACGAGATTTTATCAATACTAAGTAGTACGTGTGTGAACCCGTGTCATTTTTGCAGGAAAACGTAATAGCCGCCGTCATTCTACCACAGGTTTAGTAACGAAGAAAAGGTATCGAGGAAGTTTTATCATTTTGCGATCGAGAGAGGGTTAATTAAACTCTTTCAATCTACCACGGGTTTTAGCGAAAATGTCGTAGTGACAGAGAAAAGTTAGTCGAATTTTGGAAGTTATCCAATCTAGCGATCGGGAGAGGGCTTGCCTTCTTCAAGAAAAATGACCGTGCTATCTTTTCAGGTGAGAAAAAAGTAGAGTGAAGCTTTCCGGGGAGCGAGAATGCGCGAAAAAAAACTTTAAGTCTCCTCGCCTCCTCCTAGTCATCCTTGTCCTTGAATCTAGAGGTCTTCATTACTTGTTGGACCTCACTCCGCGGCTCGCGTCCTCAATATGGCCGCCGCCGTATTGGAAAACGAGAACACCCTGGGGACCAAGGTTGAACCTCACTCCATAGTTGGCTCACGACATACGGACGTGCTTCAAAGCGAGGCCTGGTGCGACAGCCGTGCCACTCGTGAGCTCAAAGGCTCAGTTATAGTTGGTTGGCTTTGATTCCAGCATTTGCAAAATTTGCACATGAACGCGCATACGATCGTGACTTCGAAGGCGATATTTCCAAACCAGTCAGAAGTTCATCGAAAACTCCTCGGATTTTAGACTACCAGCAGTTTCTCTACTCGCAGTCTACTCAGATTCAGCGGTCGCGTTTTAGTGAAACAATCCGCGAAATTTTGTCACCCGAAGTGTAGCCTGCGTACCAGTGACAGGAGAAAGAACAAAGCAATTATAGAGAAGAAAGGTAACTGGTCTAAGAAACAAAAGTAGCTTTTCTGCATTTAATCATAGACATACTTTTACAGTCCTCTCCTTACTTGCAAAACTCTCCTTAACACAGAATACTGGTTCTCTAGTAAAATAACTAACTGGTGTGAGACCGGACCCGCTTCGATTAACTTAACTCCTGCGCGGGGTTGCTCAGAAAAAATGCATAATTACATTGAACCTGGAAAGCTATATTTTCATTCGGAGAATTTTAGCGTGAACATCGTGAACATAGAAAGTTCTACCTTTGTGTGCTTAAAGAAGCTTTTTTAAAAGCTTAAGCTATTTTTCGCATCACTTGAATTTCAAAAATAATGGCCTAGTTTTGGTCTATATTTAGGTATTGAAGCTGTTTCCCGTCATGTTACAACGGGTGGCAGGGTTGGGCATGGATTGAAAGTTGAAAAAGTTTTTAGGTATTAGTGCTATACTTGAAAAAATCGCCAAAAAAGTATTATGGTTAGTGCTCCCTGATGAAATTAGTAAGATATCTTCTTCACAACTCTACAAAAGAATTTTGCGAATGGGTGGAAAGGCACGTGCTCTAACCAATGACTTCAGCACTGCCGAATTGCCCTAAATCCGAGCAATATCCTCTTGCCCCTAATTTGAGGAACCCGTTCAAGCTATTCTTACTAGACCGTATCGTCGTCACGAACTAATTTATCACGTACCGAGATTTCATAAGGTAAATAACCTCGTTTGCGTTGATTTGTCCTGGCAAACTGGAAAAGCAAAGCCAAACTCCAATTCAACGAAATTTGGAAGGAAGGAGTCGCGCGCGTAGCAAAAGTCAATTTGTGAGGAGAAAGTAAATTGTAAGTAGACAGCACGATCCTTTTCAAAAACTGGAAATGAGCAATAAATGAAGCAAAAATAAAGTTTCATTAATATCAAGATTCCAATTCTCTTTCGGTTAACGCTATTTTAAAATACAATACTAGTTGGACCGGCACTTTGGCTTTTCTAAATGCATTTTTCTCCCACCAAAAGGACCCTTTTCCGGCAAAGCTGAGTGTATTTTGCTGACAGAATAAGGCTAATTTACTGTCAGCGTGAAAGAAAACAGTTCTTATATAATTTAAGCAAAAGGATCTGAACGACCTTTAACCTAGTTTCATGTGAAGGATAACAAACTTAAAACAATTCTCTTCAGTCAGCCATGGCACGATAATTTATTCAGTCCACGTATGCGATATTTTGCTAGAAAGTTATGCTTCTCATTGGCGTAACTAGGAAGTTGAGTTTGCTAGCAAGCTGTGCTCTTAGAATTTACAACCGAGTTATGCTTCTCTCAGCTTTTTTCCTCTTCAGCCTACAACTGAACTGGTACGTTGTGCCTCTCCGAACGACGCACATCTTCGCTGATGACCTGACTTTTATCTTATTCATTACTTATTGTGTATGTGGGCTGGGCCTACCAAACCCTCCTAAGTTACAGTTTGTTAAAATGTTTTCCTAGTTTTGCACCTTGAATAGTCTATTGTTACAATAGCAGCTGTATTCAGTCTAGCAAGTTTATAAAAAAATTTCGGCTCCCGTTTGCTTGAAAAATCAACGCATTCGGTTTTTTATTTTACCAGGCTACGCGCCAGTCGAAAGCATTGTGCGTTATTCAAGTAGAACTGAATTTGTTCGGGTTTCAAACGACAAGAACCATATTACATTTCATGCCTCATTAGAATTTGGCCGGCTTTAGTGTTTTTTTGGACAAATTCCAGCTCAAGTTTTAAATCCCGTCCGGCTAAACCTAACTACAATCAAAGCATGTCAAGAGATCTTTTTATAAATTCTACCCAAACTATATTTCCTCAATCGCTGGTTAAGCAGTGATAGTAACAAGTCTTGCTAAGCCATTCAACAAATTCATTTGTCTTTTTAACTGACCTTGTTTTCTAATGTTCTTAAAAACATTTTACGGACAGATGCACACCATAGTTAATCAGTGTTCTTTAAGTATCTTAAAGATGTATTAATGTTGGAAACAAAGCTCGGTTTGGTTTCAAGCGCACGAAATGGCTAGAAGGGGCGCTTTTCTAAGTGCTAATTGCCTAAACCTGAACCATTAAAACATTTAGTAACGAGAGAATTCTACTGCACCAGCAGCTAAACTGGCTAAAGAAACGATTTAGTTCGCTCGCTTGATCGACAACAGGGAAAATAAATTCTGAGCTATTTTCTATCCTTTTTTTTTTTTAAACATTCATTACCTTGAACAATGTTTGCTTTGTGCGCGAATCAGAACTTAAACTTCATGGGTCAATACGTAGTTATCTTTCGTACTATTGTCTAAAACCTTGCCCTTTTTAAAGGGATTGACATTTTCAGCTTTTAATTCCATAATTTTTTTTAAAAAAAATATCCTATGCATTTTTTTTTCAACTAACTCAGTAATTGCTATGGCAAATGAAATTTAACAGGTGTTCACACGTCACAAGTCTAAAATATGGATATCCACCTACAAAAAGAATTTAACATCGTGGTCAGGAAATATAGGATTTATGTGAGAAATTACTCTTTTTTTCCCAGTCACTGTCGACTCCCCTACAACAGATTCTCACCTCGCTCTTCAAACAATGGTGTCAGTTTTTTTTATCATAAAAAAGGAAGAATGCTCACAGGACTGACCGGATAGATTTATAGACCGAACAGCTGTTTTGCAATAGGACTGGGTCGCGCAACTCGAGCTCTTTACCAACACTACATAGCGAAACGTCGGGTTAATTCGTTTGAATGTAAACAGCTTCTTTTGTCTTGAATTGAACGAGATCATCCCTGGATCATGAAAATAATAAAGGGCTCAGTTTTCCGTTGGCGCCAGCGCGGTGATTACAGATCAGCGAACTTTGATGTTCTGAAACGCCATCCATCAACACCGGGTTTCTACACCACATTCCGAACCTTCCAAATAACGTTATCAAGGTGTGGAGGATTCTTCCGAGGGCTGTGGCTATGGATGTTTTTAAAACGGAATGATAATTCAGTTCAGTACTTATTTTTTTTCAGCCGTCTTCCAAAGTGCCAGTTTTCAAACACCCAATACTTGTTCAAGTACTTCCTACTAGACCGTCAACAGGCAATTATAAGCATCTAATCACTTTTTACAGTTTGAGAGGACATCCAGCTGGTGACATTTGTAGCCTGACGTTGTTCAGATCAGGTAGCCTCCCGACTCGATGGTTTCGGGGGGCTCTAAGAAAAGAATAGGGAGAGGTATGCCCCCATTCGATCATCTCCGGTCTCTTAATCCGGAGTACCCGGGGAGTACCCCGGGTATGATGTCGCCGAGGCCTTTCGATAATGTCCCTGTTTTAGACAAAATATAAGTTCATTTTGCTACCCTGTTTAAGAAAAGAGGCCTTATAACATCATGGAATTAAAGCTTTTGGGTCCGTTCAACGTCAACCAAACACTTTTAAGAACTCCGGTCCAAAAAGACACGCAATACTGAAACTGTATACCAAGTTTAGACTCAAGACCCTGAAAACCATGCCCTGTTCAGCGGCACCTACCGAATAAGACAGTGCCGTCCCCGGCCGTGGGCGAAGCATCCCAAAAATAATGTTAGTTTCTGCTGGTAACAATTCTCTCACTGATTCCTTCTGGAAAACTGCTGACCCTGGAAGAATGCCTAACAGTGTCTGCTTCAAAAAATTGCTCATCATTGCTGCTGTCTAGAAATTGTACATACATATATAAATAGCTGTCAATGTCAGCGACCTTCAGTTTTTAATTTACCCAATATGTCGATTCCATTCATACGTTTCACAAATGTTGCAATATTCATGGCGGTCACCCCTCCTGTATGGTGGAATTACAATTTGGATCAAAAAACACTAAGTGACGATCTCGGCCTCGCCGTAAGTAGCGTAACAAGGTTAAAGAATATCTCACAGCGTGATTAAGGTTTAGCTCCTGGAAACCAGGTAGTCAGTTACGACAAAACACCATTACTGCTATTTCGTGAAATTAGACCACTTGACGCGATCAGAGCATATCTGGGCACGAGTCAAGGTGACAAAACATTATTTAAAAAAATACAAAGCTGAAATGGTGAAAGATGAGAGCGATAAGAACCCACAAAAAAGGGTGTTTACGTTTACATCTCGTGTTTCTCCGCTGAGGAATTCATGCTGAACTATTTTTATCGCGCGCAAGGGTTCAAGTTTTAATTCGCGGCCCTCCTGCATGGGAAGTTAAACACACCAAAACAACCAAAGCAATCCTCGGACACCTGACCAGGCTCACATTAAGTTTAACAAGACAGCAGGAAGCAAATTAAGCTTTTAAGGTAACGAGGTAACACGAAAAATGCTACATCAAATAAATTATAGATGAAATTGATATCCGAAAAAGTTGAAAAGGGCATTAGGACAGATATGCCGATCCTAAAACATTCCGCCTGTGTCTCTGTTAATTTAAAATAACTGGCACCTCTGGCAGCAAACACTCGTCTTTATTTCACAGTGTTACAGCTGGTGTAAAAACCGCAACCAAAGAACAAAAATATAAACCTATTCATGTTGACATAGTACTTGATTGATTTCCTACAGCACTTGGAAACAAAACAGCCGTCAAGAGAGTGAGACAACTGCGTTCCTTTCCAGGTAAGCTGGTTTCTTACGTTTACAGTAGATACACTACACGTAGTTGAAACTTACTGCTCACAGCAGAGACCTTAAGATACACCGTTTGTGTGCAGAGGTGTGGGTAAATTACCCGTGAATACGGGTAGATGGCCTCGTACCCCGGAGAAACGGGTAGGCCACCGGGAGATCATGTCGCCTTTTGTGTAACTGCGAGGCAAACATGTTCGCCTACCTGTATCCGTAGGTAGAAACGGCGTATCTTATTAGCCTCTAGTGTTTGCCATTGTCCAACTGGTTGTACTCGTGTGTAAGTAAATACAGGCGTAATTGTTTGCTCTGAGTAAACAGTTTGTTGTGACACGTATTGACCATTTGGAGGGATACATGTAGCCCCAAGAGGATGGTGGAATGTTGACGAAAAAATCTATACGGCAGGAGATCGAGTGGAAGTTTTGTTAACAAAATAAACCGAACATTTAGGCGAGGAAAACGCTTTGAGACAAGGAAAAGTTTAGTTGGTCCCATGCGAAATTTATAGCTTCTTGGTTGTGAAGCGCCTTGTCAAGTCCGTCTACGCCACTTTCACTGAAAGAAAATAAGTGAATTTTGGAACGACACTGCTAATGTGTCCCTTAGAAGATGAACTACAGTAACTGGAAATCGAACAATAAATTGCTTGGAGGGTACTAAAACCTCAATCAAGCGGAAACGTGTGTACTTGACTTCTATTGTATTTGTGACATGATTGATAGAGGCGGGGCAAATTGTCACTTCAAACGATTGAAATTTTTCACAGAATTCAAGCAAAGCCAACACACCGAGTCCGGCGAAGAAATAAGCCAATCAAAATTTACTTGAACAAGAATTCGTGTCGTTGTTCGACGGTGCTTAACAATCTGATACTAACAGGCGAGAGTTCACCGTCCAACTTATCAAGGCTATCAGTCACATGAAATCCGCAACAAAGACTGTCACGACGCTAAAGAATTTACTCTTTGGCACTACGTCAATATTGTGCCATTAGATTGACAACAAGCAAATGAATTGTCTGCGCAGTTCTAAAACAAACCAGGCAACTTGAGACGACAGAGAAGACTCGATCCACTCACCAAGCAAATCACTTCTTTCCGTAGTTATTGCTCGACTGATGGCCGAAATTCAGCGTCGACCGGGATGTTAGTTCGGTCGGAAATCTCTTGGTGGATGTGAGTATGCAGAAAGCAGAGCGGTGGATATTGTTTCTCAGCCTTATTGTTAATACGCAGTCTGCTTCACCCGGTAAGTGGATAGCTTCATATTTGTTATTTTGCCACAAGGATATTCTAGGGTCTGTGGGTTTCTAGACCTTGTATTCCTTGTTTAAACTGTTACACAAAGATCGATCTTTGTTCAAATCATCACAAAAGGCAATCGGTTTCCGCTTTTTCAATGCATTGCCATGTACGAGACCTCGTCACGCTTTGAAAATCAATTCGAAGTAATATGCCAAAGATCAATGACTCTATTCATTTGAATCATGCAAGAAAACTTGTTTCTGATCAACAAGGACAAAGGAGATCTCATCAATAAGTTCAACATATAGACTCAAATATTTGCTCAGCTCTTAAATCGCGACGAAGTTGAAAGTAAATAAGTGGCAGGAGTTACTCAAAGGTTCTGTTTACCATTTCCATTGTATTCTGAGCATTGTGTCTTGTAATATTTCTGGGCTATCCAGCTGTTTAATACACGCTCGCGTTTAGTACTCATTCAGAAAGTAAGCAGGCAACATTGAATTTGGTTTTGTATACGTTTCCATGCAAACGTTTCATTAATTTAACACGTTCAATGTTATTAGGAGGGGAACTTAAATGTCCGGTTGATTAGTTCTTTTCGTGATAATCGAAAGATGTTGTTTTCATCACTGAGGTGCCAATATCGTAAATCAGGGGAAGTCGAAAAACACTATAATTATATTTTGTAAAAGTACGCTCTCTCACTTCTACGTTAATGCAGAAAGAACGGTTTGAATTCTGAAAGAACTTCAGCGTTGTAACGTAAAAGGAGTAAATGAAGTATTTGTTGTTGCCACCGGAAAGAGATTCAACGGCTCTGACCAAACTAGAAAAAAATGTGCAGCAATATAACTCACAAGCTTTTAAATCGTGTTATTGTGGTCAGTTCGCCTTGCCATTCCCAATGCAAGAAGACTTAAAACTATTTTAAAGCTCCCATGTGTGCCAGTGTGTATGGCCTGTGGTATGAAATGCCGCCCTAACCAGTCAAATGTTGTACCGCTGTCTTTTCGGTACTATAAAAGGTCCGCCGCTTGTGTCAGCAGTGGACGCAGCGTATTTTTCTTGTTTTCGTGTTCGAAGCACCTCAAGTCAACCACAGATGGGGAACGAGATCACGCCCGAAAGTTTTTTTTAAGGTGTTCTGGGTCAGTGTTCTGTTCACTAATTTCTCAGCATATTTGGCAAGGTCAAAAATCAATAATAGAGCTGCATAATTTACAGAAGGGAACAGATGGTCGCTCAAGGGCAAAAAATCTGTAATAATTATAGTTAATTCTTAGCATAAACGTGTGACGGTGCATTTATATGTGCGTGGAGGTTTATCTCGGTTCTGTGACGCGTCTTTCTCCATTTCACTTTTTCCCCATTATGTTAGCACAATTATAACTTTCAGCAAAACGCAGTTGTTCGCCCTTTTGCATTAAATTAATTGCTATTGCATTGAATTAAAAAATTGTTTGCTGAATCGCAGTAGTGTAGATCAAATCGTTTCCCCAAATACCACATCACAGGATAGTCAGGAAACGATTTGCACGATTTGTCTACAGTTAACGTGCCACTACAAAGAAGTGCAAATAGTTGGAGAGTATGAGAACCCGACGACCGAATGTTTCCAACACGTCAGAAGTGTCTCATATAGTTTTCTCTACGCTTTACAAACCTCTTTGGTTAATTTGGAGCTGCCCTAAAAACCGTATATCTCATTCGGATGTCTTAGAGGAACTTTGGTCGCCACGAAAGTTTTGGGTGACTTTTTCTCTAATCTGAACTTAACTTTTAGCTACTCTGACGGTTCCGGTCAAAAGTTAAAGGACATTGAGTAGCCGTACTTTTCTTAGAAAATTCCAGGGGACATATTGTCTTTTTACCGAAATTTTCTGGAGGCCTTTTTTTAAAACACTAATCGCAGTATCTCGGTAGTAAAATGCGAGAAACAAAACCTCCAAAAATGGGAGGGCAGTTGGTAGATCTTAAAAGAAAATATTCCAATACTCTTAGTAGACAAATGGAACGGTTATCCAGAAATTTCTAGCCGTTCTCGAGCCGCATAAAATTCTAGGCAATATTTGCTCCTTCAAAGAGTTATTTTACTGCAGAAAAAGGTCGTTGGATGCAGGTAAAATCCACCCTGAAACGGTATCTGGAGAATGTTTGTAAGCAGACATGCGTCTATTGCCTTGCGAAGGTGGATCAATCCACACAACTCAGCGGATTGCTCTTCCTCAAAAGGCGAAATGAAAATGGGGACTTCTTTTAGACCCTGCATATCAGTTGCTGTAAGTTTTATATCTGATGCGTAAATAGTTATAGCGCAAATGCATTATCTCGAATGGTCGTTCAAATGTTTTGTCATGTCAATAAGTGAAATCACCCATCATGTTATCAGCTTTTTGTGCGATAAACTCGAGTATGTATTTTCCACTTTACTTCCTTTTCTATTCACTTTCTTACTATCAAGAGGGGGGAAAAAAAGCAGATGCAGCAGCGACAAGTATTTGTTTTTCTGAGAGGGCAGACTGTACACATTAGAAAAGCGCGCGTTTCAGTCTCTGGAAGTAAATGAAGAGAATTTCCGGCGCAATCAACGAATGAGTTCAGCTGAGAAGCATTATCTGATGCAAGTTAAAAAATGTTATTTTTGTAATTCACCCATCTGCACACATCAGTGTTTTTGGTGCGAGTCGTAAGTGCTGAGTCGTGGATACAGAAACACTTTGGTACACAGAGTTCATTAGGAAAAGGCCAGAAATTTAATCAACAGTCTGATAAAAATATCAAGAAAAGGAAAATCTGTAGAAATTTTATACCCATTCGAAACATTTGGGGTGTATGTGCCGAACTCAAGTGAAATTAATAACTTTGTAAAAACTGTGTTTACTTTGCAGACAAATATCCACCTCACTGTCAAGTCAGTTCTAGCATAAAACCTCTTAAAAATGTCAAAGAAGGAACAATCGTTCGATTAAGATGTAGAGTCAATGATTGCCCACGTCGGACCATATCTTGGCTGAAAGATGATCAACCGTTGCAGCAAGAAAATGAAAGACTAACTATAAGGAATAATACCAGTGGAAACGCCAGTGTCTTAAAGATAAGGAACGTTAAACTTGAAGACCAGGGAAACTACACTTGCATTGCGGAAAATCCATTCGGGCAGGTGGCGAATGCAACGCGACAACTCGTACTAGATGTTCGTCCAGGTAGGGGGTGAAAACTGAATACAATTGTGATTGTTATGGCGTAGAGTTGGCTAAGAAATAGAATGGGTGGCTAAGTGTCTCTGTTGAAAGTATTGTTCACTTTTCCACATCATCTTGATCTTGTGATCAGGAGTTTAAAAACATTAAGTACTATCGGGATTTCGAAGCAAATAACCGGGAATAAGGAAATAAGCAAAGCCTTTCTTCGAGTTAGCGGGATGGTCGAGTTATCAAGGGTTCGTTCGAGTTACCGAGGGTTAAATTACAGAAAATGTACGAAGGAAATCCAGGGGAAATCGACTTTGGTTCAAGTTTAATAGCGCGAGGTTCGAGGTTCGAGTACGCGAGGGTTCGATTTCGTGTGTGGCTACATGCTCAGCAGCCTTACGATATTTGTCGACATTAAAAAAAAATAACACCGAAAATAAATTATGGATAAACTGAGATTAAACAGACCCACCACAAAAATTTTTCAAACGATGGGTTTACTTTATCAGTACTATCGATTTTATCAATTGAACACGCATTTTAAAACAAAATAAATGAGAAAATACAGACAGAAAAATATAAGACAAACTTAAGATTTCAAATTTTCAACCATTACTTGTACTTTTTACGATATTTGTCGACTAAAAAATTGGCGATTACTTCTACTGACGGTTGTGGCACAGAAAATAATCTTTGTTTTACTTCAACCATTGCTTGAGTGGAAAAAGAGACACCGGTTGTGCAAAAAATCTTTGTTTTGACATTTGTGATGAATGAACCAACACTATTAGAAGGTAGAGTTCGAACATCCAGTAATGTTGCTTGAACTGCATTTTATAAACATACTAATATAAACATGATTCCCTGCTGTATTCACGTTTACTCAATATTTTTTGTAGGTACTTCAACGACCCCCACTAATACTACTTCGCAACCATCAACCACTCCAGTGCAATCACAAGGTAGATTAAGAAGCTGTAACGCTGTTAGTATTTTGTATCATTTACAAAAGAATTTTTATCTACGAAACCCACTGATTCAATAATGACCACCCCTTTAAACCCGTAGTGACGTACGTCCGTCATGATATGAGTAGAATGATTAGCCAGAGGTTTTGCTTGTTAAACAATTTCTCCTTATCTAATCATAGTACCGTAGGAAGGATCAAGAAACTAATAAAGGCATAGGTAAAGGTCAAGGTCCTTATTTTACGTCGGCAACTCGCAAAAGTACTATACTGACAAACCTGAGGCTGACAGTGCGAAAATTACTGCTATATGACAGCATTTTAAAACTCCAAAAGTTGACCCTGTCACGTTTGAGAAGCGCAGATTGACGATAATTTTTGGAATTTCAAGTCACCTTCTCTTTTCTTGTTTCATAAGGCTCACTTGCCTATTTTTGTTCGCTGTTAGCAGTTATTATACAGCCTCGACTAGCAAATTGTCACTTTCGCGGCGGACGAATGTTCCCCCATTTTGGTGGTCTTGTTGACTACTGAACTGTCTTTTCTACACTTTTCCAATTCATCCATGAGCTGGCTCACAGGAGCCTTTAATTGTTTCAAAATTCCCTCTAATGGGAGGAGTGTTGTGTGACGACACAAAGATATACGCACAAAGGTGGCGGTTGAATATTAGCATTGTATAAACTGTTTAAAGTTTCCCATTTTCCTGTAAAGAACGGAGAGATGGAGCGCTAATGTATTGGGCGGGTGGACAACAGGTTTCATCCCAAGGTTAGACTCTGCCATAAACCAAGAAGTGGGGGCTCGACTTCTATTCGTGTTTGCTTTAATTGACCTTCTTTTTTTTTAGGAAAGCCTGTCTTCTCCGACCCAGATACCTTAAAAAGAGCATTCAAAGCCTGGCCAGCGTCTCACTCAGTTAAGCTTAAATGTAACGCGAAGGGGACACCACCACTTAAATACACCTGGCTAAAAGACGGAGAGCTTTTGAAAGGGAGACGACTGGACCCATACCTTAACACCTCAATTTCGTACCTTAGGCTGAAAGATCTGGTACCTAACGATGAAGGACAATACACTTGTATAGTATCTAATCGATATGGCAGCATAAATCATACTTACACGGTCAAAGTTCTAGGTAAGAACACGGCTTCATATCTTCGGTTCCATTGTAGACTCGTAGTTTGACAGCTGATTTTTGAGAGTTTAATGTCCATTCATAACAAACTTGATACCCTATATTAACAACTATGAACGCACTGAGAAAAGGTTGTTCTCGGTATTAAGGGTCTTATAGCAATCAAACCATGACCAGGCCAACACAACAGAGACAGCTGTAGAGAAAATGGAAGAAAGACCCCAAAGTCCACTTCTCTTTTCGAACAAAAGTCTAGGTATTTTACGTCTCCTTCAAATTGTAAAGGGTTGATGAAAGAGACAAGGCCAACGGCTTATCGTTATCGTCACCGACCAGCGACGTGATCCTCTGACCACAGCATCTCCGATCTTATTAGACCCTTACTGGGGGTCTTGCCGGGGTTCTAACCCGTGACCCAAACTAAACCGGTGCTCATCCAACTGAGGAAAAAGGCGACTAACCTCCCGAGGGGACTTCCATATGAAAGTGACGGGGATGTTCGTTGGAAAATTAAAATTAACCCTAAGAGAGACCAATGTGGGTGTGGCTCAAGCGTAAACCGACCCCTAAAGGAGGCAATACACAAACAGACATGAGGGCTAGAGTGTGTCGTGTCGTGCCAGCGATGTCATGTTCTTTTTTAAACGTTAGATTTCTGTGCGTTCAGTGGCAAGGAGTTTTTTTTTAAACTTTTTTATGCTCAACCCTAAGCGATACATGAATTGGCAAATATGGTGACTTTCTGTCCCAAGCATCCGAAGTGAGACCAAAACCTGCAATGTACACCCCCAAGCGAGACGACAAACACCCCCGACACTTTTATATGGGAACCCCCCCCCCCGGGGGGAGGGGCTAAACCCCAAACATTGATGCCGTTTGACAGGTTCTCTCGATCACTAAGACACTGCAGTTTTCAGCGAACGCCTTATCTTATTGGAAAGATGCGAACCATTTGACTATGCATGGCCTCTACATCTCTCAAACTGACTCCATAAAAGTTGAAGGACAGTTGAGGCCTGGCGTTTAACCGGGTGGTAAAGTCGTGACGAGGCAAAGGTTCACGGTTATTCCTTAAAAACGAATTACAAAATGGTCGTACAGTACTATGTAAAATAATCTTACTTGTTTCTCTGGGCCAATTTGGCTATTGCCCGTCTAAGTTGTCCGTTACAATACGACTATTTCACGCGACCAACTCAGCTGTTTTAAAAGACTTATGTATATTTTAACGAATTTCCTTCACAGCTAAACCACGAACTCGACCTATCCTGCGAACGAACCTTCCAGAGAACACGACTGTAGAGATAGGGAAAAATGCTACAATGAAATGCCGTGTCGTGGTCAGTGGAACGCTTCCAGATTTTAGGTGGCTAAAATGGGACAAATCTGTCACATTTGTGTCGAAGATAGAAGACAACTTAGACAACAATGGGTCATTTAAACTTATAGATCCACGATATTATCATTCTTTGCAATTGGGGGACGAATATGGTTCTGAGGTGACAATTATCAATGTCACTGAGGACGATTTTGGACTCTACACTTGTTATGCGAGTAATCACATTGGAGCGGAATATAACAGCGCTTTCCTCAGCAGATACGTGAAACCCACCACTCCAGGTAAGAAGTTAGTTTTGAATTAGTAAAAACCAACCAAAGGTTAGTGAGTGCAGGCGAGATCGGTTCAAACGCTCTTGCTCCTACTCTGTGCTTTGCGTATTAAACCTTCGAGTGATGGAAGGCCATAACGCACGTGATCAGATTGCCTTCTATGCATTCTGTTCACTCTTAATGCTGGCTACATACATGCATGTGTAATCGTTACAACCTGGAGATTAGGAATGCAGGCTCCTCCGGTCGCCCGCAATTACTTTTTAAAACATGGTGTTGCTATCGATTATAAATTGTATACGCATTTCATCAAGGCAACTAGTATGGCTCAAGTTATAACTTCTGAGTCTCAAAATTACATGGGGAACATCAAAGAGAGCGCGTCTTCTCTTTAAAACGCTATGCACTTTTGTCCCTTGCGCTAGAGGCGTCTGTGCACGTGGTCTGTGTAAAGTACTGTCATATTTTGTGTGCAAAATACACCTGGAATAATTACGTGATATCCTAGCCTGTTCGAAGACCCGCTATTTTCTCTTCAAAGTCCGTCGAGCGCGTGTGAACGCCAGCGCAAGGGGGTAGTGGTGCGGGAAGAAGAAAACGACGGACGTTCTTTATTTTTCTTTCTCGCGCACTCGCCGATGTTTTCGAAAGAACGAAAAGAAAAATAAAACAACGTCCGTGTACAGGTTAATGATATCTAGGTTGAAAGCTCTCAAATGAAACGTTGAAAAAAATATACATAGCAATTTGGCTAACTATTTTCTCTTGGCCTCTTTTAGGTAGAGCTGTAAATCCTGCTCATGAAAATAACTCGACCACAATTTCTGGCATGCAGCAACCTGCTCAGATAAAAAAGAAGGATGAGCCCGGAGACAACGTCGTTATTATTGTACTCAGTGTAGTTATGTTTTTGGCTTTTGTAATTGGAATCACTGTATTCATTGTCTATCGCCGTAAAGTAAAGGGAAAGTTAGCTCAAGATTCCAAACCCCAAGATAACATTGTCACTCTACAACATATGGATATTATTCCTGCAACATCAACCCTTATTGCATCGGAATCTAACACTCCAAATCAAACGGATGGAACTCAAAGAACGTTTCCCTATCCAATTCCAAGGAGGCGATTAAGTTCTTCTGACTCTACCACACCTTTATTAAAATACAGAAATGGTAGCTACAGATCACGCTTTTCTTCAGGTTTATCATCGAGAATTGACTCAAACATCGCTGAAGGTAAAGAAAAGGGTCGCCGACGCTTATTTCGTTTCGTAAGGACCACCGGTAGACGCATGGCTGCTAAGCCTATTAAATCCTTGACATTGTGTTACCGTGGGATCCAGGGGCCGAATTCAAAAAGGCCTCCTATGTATAGCGTTCTGCCCTGCGCCACGGAGGGAACCAAAAATTCTAACCGCGGCAGGATTAGCCAGGCGGTAGAGCGCTTGACCGGGAGGTCGCGGGTTCGATGCAGGGTATTAAAATAACCGAGAAATGCGTTTTCCAGCAAACGGGTAGAGCTTCGGTTGGCTCGGATTACCACGTAAAATGGTGGTCTCGTCCCCAGTAGGAGACGTAAGAATAATGTCTCCAATTAGTACTTTCGTGCTTAATACATTGACACTCAAATAAAGCGCTTTTTGGTTAAGTCCGTCTGCGCCGAAGGATTTGAGTACGCGCTACGGTTGACGTGTTACGTGCAAATGTCCATTTGCCAGTCAGATTGAAGCCGGGTAGATTCGAAACGCATTTCTGGTTTCTCGTTGAGTCCGTTGGGAACCCAGAGCAAGGATATCCGCGGTGCTCGGCAGACGTTACTAAACGAGATTTGTCTCGGTAGTCCCGAATTCAGCTCCTCGCCACACTTGTAAAATAGCGAAATGGTTCTTTTCAGTTATTTGATTCTGTCCTTTTTGTGGGTCATCATAAAAACTACTGGGTTACCAATTAATGGGAGACTTTTATGAAGTCACTTTTTTAACCAAATGGTATACTTACGTTGACTTCTATTCACCCTTATTTAACACAGAGCTTTACGAGCTGCCTTGTGACGAGGAGTGGGAAATTGAAAGGTCTCAACTTACTCTAAAGGAACAGCTTGGCGAAGGAGCATTCGGTTTGGTCGTTCGAGCTGATGCTGTCGGATTGCCCGAATTGCCTGCTAGATGCTCTGTAGCTGTAAAAATGCTTAAAGGTAAGAGATACTACAGCCATTACACCCCTTCAGTGCGATCTCTTTTTCGTCAGGTTAAGTTTATTCAAACAAAAGCAAGGGTGGTGCAGTGGTAAGACTACTCGCCTCTAACCAAGGTGGCCCGGGATCAAATCCCGGCGACGACGCCAAAAGTGGGCTGAGTTTGTTGTAGGCTGTCCCCTTTGCTCCGAGAGGTTTTTCTCCGGGAACTCCGTCCCGTCCCGTCCCGTCTCTTCAAAAAAAAAACCAACATTTCCAAATTCCAATTCGACCAGGAATGGTAGACGAAGAACCAGCATGTAGATATGCTACCTCTAAATTATTGTATAATTATTCTTTAACCCATTCATTTATTAATACTCATTCGCAACGTTTTCCTCTAACCGAGGTCGGCTGATAAGACTAATGATTACAAAGAATTTGCTAAATTTGAGGAAACCTTGTTAGACTCACAACATCATCACTTGATAGATTAAAATGCACGTATGGAGAATCTTCAATTATTTGTGAGAGGGTCACTGTGCAATACAGTAACTGTGGATAAAATGTGATCTCTTCTAGCTGATGCAACGGAGAACGAACTAGCTGACCTTCTGTCTGAGATGGACACCATGAAGGACATTGGTAAACACAAGAACATCATCAATTTAATTGGTGCATGTACACAAAATGGTAAGCAATACTGAAGCCGGATAAACTTACGCAGCTCGTGGACGTTCAAGCACTCTGCCCTCTTTGCCTCGTCGGCCCCCTCGGCCTACTTAATGTGTCATTGGATGAACAATAGCCTGTTCACAGACCCTCTTTTTTTCGCTGTAGACAAGATCAAACGCGCGTTTCATTTTATTTTATTCTTTTCTCGCTTCGCGCTTGTTCGTGCCCTCTTTGCCTCGGCGGCCCTTCGGCCGCTTAATGTGTGTGGATGAGCAATGGCCTGTTCACAAAATTTTCGCTGTAGGAAAACGCGTTTCATTATTGGACAAGCTTGTTCAGATGAGGGCCCCTCAATGGATGAGGGTCAGACCCTATATTTTCAGTGGAAAATCAAACAAGAATGAGCTTCGCGCTGCAAAATTCGGCGGGAAAAAATGTTGGTCACTTGTGGAAAACTAACAAAATGAGCTTCCTTAATGAAAAACCAAACTCTCCATAAAACAACAACAAAAACACCCTCCAGTATTTTTTTTTTGACTGTCATGTAAGCGGTGACACACAGAGAGGTTACACAAAGACAGCAACGATTGCCTACGAATAAGGCCGTCGCTTCTCGCTCCTCACCGCTACGAACGCGTTTTTGCGGGAGGGATGTCTCAGATTTCTGATTGCTTTCCTGATTATGCCAAAAAGATTTTAAACTTACAAAGGATACTTGTACTCACAAGTTCTAAACTCGGGTATTTCAGGTCCTCTGTTTGTCATAGTGGAGTTTGCACCCCATGGCAATCTTCGGCAGTTCTTGAGGGAAAGAAGACCTTCTGAGTATCAACACACAAGGCCGAATTCCTCAGGTCCTTCTCTTACTGTCAGGGACTTTGTATCTTTCGCGTTCCAAATAGCGAGGGGGATGGAGTATCTGGGAACAAGAAAGGTAAAGTAGACATTTTTTGTAACAGAACAGTATGATATATATAAAAATAAAAACAGTATGCGAGTTCTAAATAAGGATTAGGCGATCAATAGAGCGCAACCTATGAACGTTTTGCTCCTCATATTTCGAGAGCAAAAGGCGACAGTTATTGAAAGCTTTTGGTGTGCCGCAGGAAAACCTGTCACGTGTGTCTGTTAATCAACTGGACATCATTGATATAGGGCGTTTTTACTCGACGCCACGGCGGATATATTGGTGTTCCATGCACTTGAGGCCTTCCTCTGAGAAGTGGTTAAGCTTGACAGAATACTTGCTAAGGACTTTAATTTTATAGCAAAAACCTTTCTCTCTGTTGTTTTCCAAATACAGTGTGTCCATCGTGATCTTGCTGCTAGAAATGTCCTTGTCGGTGAAGACTATGTCATGAAAATCGCTGACTTCGGTCTGGCACGGAATATTAGGGACCTGGAGTACTACAGAAAGACCACAGACGTAAGTTTGCTTTATACCTTTTTCACTTAGTGATGATGATGGTGATGGTGGTGGTGATGTTGGTGATTATTTGCGTTCGAAAAAACCAAAAATCAATGACGACAGTCAAAGCAGTGTTTGAATTGGTGTTAGAACCCTATTCGAGACCCATTTTGCTGATAATCACAACATAAATTGAAAGATTTGATTGTCAACGCCTCTCACGCTATAGAAAGATCGCTGATTCTTCCGTTCTGGTAAATCTATTACCTCTGATAAGCGTGAACTCTGGTAGTTAAAAGCCTTTTTCGTCACTGAGAATGTGCTTCACCTTCGCACCACACAGACCGGATGTAACAAATCCTGAACAGTTCCCCCTTTGATCTAATTTACCCATGGCATGCAAATATTCTGCGGTGTCCTTAACTATAAGCTGTTTTCTGCTTTCAGGGTCGACTACCGATAAAATGGCTGGCTATTGAAGCATTGTTTGACAGAGTGTACACGACGCAAAGTGACGTATGGGCATTTGGAATACTTCTCTGGGAAATTTTCACTCTCGGTAAGACCATCAATTTACGACTAAGTCGCTTCCTTTCTTTTGTATTGTATCACTCTATTCTGCATACAGCATCGCATTTACTTAGAATAGTAAATACCTCAGTAGTCAACAGTAAAACTAGGTCCTCATCTGAAGTAAAACAAGTAGAAGGTATTTCCGAGAAGTTGTCGACTAAAGTGGCTCCTCCACGAAAACGCCATTCATTTTTTTCGTAACTGATGCTGTCGTTAGCGGGAAAAAAATAATCATCCATACTTCTCCTGGCGAGGAGCGTTTGACTAGGACTGACTGGACATGTACTGAACTCACTGTTTCAGGTGGTTCTCCATACCCAGGAATACCAGTAGAAAGGCTGTTTGACCTGTTAAAGTCTGGATACAGAATGCAGAAACCACAGAATTGTCCAAATGAAATGTAAGTATGGCCACCCAAAGTTTGTGCGTAGTCTTCGCAAATCTTCGTCATTTTACATGGAAAACCACGGGAAAGTGGACCAGCTTTCAAAAACCAATAACAATTCAATTTAAAATACTTGTCATTTTTTGTCTTTTAAACAGATACGATATTATGCTGAATTGCTGGGATGAAAACAGCATCAACAGAGCCTCGTTTACAACCCTAAGAAAAACATTTGACGCCATGCTGTCATCCCTGGCCAGTAAAGTAAGTGTCTGCCCCTGGATGGCTGTTGTCTGCCGCTTTCACGACACCTCTATACTCAAACATATTTTTCGCCTCTATGACACTTACACCATAACCTTTCTTTTCCTATATGAAAACTTTGTTTTTGCTGTATACCCTTGACTAATGTTCCCTGTTCACGGACTTATTCCAATAGAATTCTCACAGCACATATTTAATTAACTGGGCCTTTTTAGGCACAATTCTTGATTGTTTCCCTTCTTTTCTTGAATTATACTAGCGGGGATAGGCCACAATTTGAGTCTTCGCCACTCTATTCGAATGCTTTTAGCCTAAAATTCCTCTTCATCTCGCTCCATGCAGAAGATGAAATAGCCTGTTCAAAACCTGATCATTCCGCATCTTTTACAACAAATAGCTGATTGAATTTTATTTTGATTACAACAGGAGTACTTGGAAATACTGGCTCAGTCAATTGAGGACATTGCGCTTAGCATGGAAACGCCCATTACGGATGACTCTGACATTAACAATGATACTATAACGGAGTCTTCGTGCTAGCAGTTTCCGCGAGAGTCACAGCATATGACATTTCGTTCCATCCGATCTGGAATTATGCCTGTAGCTACTTGGTTCCTTAAGCAGGCACCGATGGACGCCGTTGTTGTAGTTTGCTGTGACACAGTTGCTGTATATAATTGATGGACGGTTCTTAGAGGTCTTACAGACTGCAAGTAAGATGTTCTGCTAAACAAGGTCACGAATTCATCTCGTCGCTGCAGAACAATTTTAAAGAGGCTACCCAAGGAGCAACCGAAGTTGCCGTTGTACAGACATGAGACCTTCAAATCTGCAGGAAGGCGTACCTTAGAGTGCACTTTCGTGTTCGGTATTTCAGCCAACTTGCATGACGGACTGTCTATGATCCAGAAAGATTACCAGTCTGGGTAACTGTCGATAGAGTTCAACAATACATCGCCACGTACGTCTCACTTCGGGTCACTGAAGATAGGATGTAAGCTCCGTCTTCATATCTTTCTTCAGTTCCAGTGGCGAGTACTTCCTGAAGAATATATTTTTTTCAAGGCTAGCTTGATAGTATGAGAGGACGCGAAATATTAGTGAAAATATCAAATAGATGGCCTGAAGTTTGCTATAACGTGTCCTTGAACACTTCAAGTTTACTAACCCAGATAATTGTACAGTCTTCCGTTTTACGTAGCGTTAGAAAGCCGTTACTCGTATAATTCTCATCTCCTCGGACAGGAGTAATATACAGAAGCAATAATACTCAGTTCAAAGAGGATGGTAAATATTCAGATGTATCTAAATTTTTGGAGTGAATAGTTTATGAAAAGCTTCAACTTTCTGACAATAATAAAAAGAAAAAGGTAGAAGGAAGTCAGTTTGATGTGTATTGTCGGTTAGGGTGTACTTTTTAGAAAGTTGTTCCCTTTTAAGAAATAGCGGTTATAGGAAGGTTGGCGTTGGTATAGTTTCGACGATGTGCGGAAAAACGTTTCCGCTGTTTTTCAAAGTCATATTTGGTGCATTGAACTAGTTGAATGCAGTAAGTAAACTCCACACAAATGCCTTGAATATGAATATAAATGCGTAGTGCATACCCCGTTTAAGACAAAAAACCCTGAAAACCAAACCCTGTTCAGAGCCACGTCTCCATTCAGGCCAAATAAGAGATAATCCACCCCGGTATAAAGCTGTGTCTACACAATTTTAATTGTGTAAAACAAAGCGACTGGCAAAACTGAACACTTTGCGATCGGTTTAGGCTCCTATTCCTGCAGGACGTAGATTCCTACCCTAGTTACCGAAAAATCTAGCTTGTGTAATAGCAGAAGCCCATGGCTTGGCAGCAAGCGTTTCCATGCGAATTCGTTGGACTAGAACGTAAAGAAGAGAAGGGGGAAGGGAGAAAAGGCGTTTTCGCAAACACAGTTTCCTTTGAAATCAATCCTTTCTCCCGTAATTTTAATCTACAAAATGGAGAAAAACTAAATGCTGAGCCGTCGACTGATCACTGCAGAATATGTCGGCGCTATAATTTAAAGTTAAATTGGGAACGATGTCTGAGCCAGAAGAATCTACTCCCTCGTCCAAAGGGCTTTTCCCCTATTAGTGTTCTCCCTGGAATTTTGGGAAGGCCAGAGGGTCCTCTGACTCAGATTCAATTTGCTTTGACAAGCTTTTCTTTTTTTCTCCACGCAACTTGGGTTGACTGTCTGAGTTTTCCATTGCGAGTTGTGATACTGCTTAAAATGTGAGCGCTGGAATTTCAGTTCTTACTTCGCGTAAGCTCCCTGAAGGGCCCTTATTATTGTCGGTCAATTTCAAGAAGGCTGCCGTTCGGTGAAACGAGTGCATCACAGGTTTAAACATATTCATCCAATGGTTAATCACTTTTACAATCAGTTAATTACGAGAAAACACACAAGTAAAAACACCACGGACAATATTTCATCAACGTTATTCAGTGATTTTGTCCCTGAAGTACCTAGTTCTAGATGTCAACATAATCATCCAATCGGATAAATCTTTGGTTTTAGGCCAGGCGGCAACGATTTCCCAGTGAATTAACCCAGGCCTAGCCTTAAATACCTGGGGAGAACACTGCCTAGAAAATAGCCTTTTTCTGATAACACTTGTTGCCGTTTCTCACCATCTGTCTACCTGTCATCATTTGTCTTCCTTTTAAAAAATTCGAGCCATTTCTCAGTTTGACTCCAACCGTTTCTATCAGTAATAATTCGACTCCAGTTTTCACCATTCGTCTCCGTTTGTCGTCATTTGTCTCACCTTTCCCATTTAACAAATTTTGACTGCATCTGTCTCTATTTGGATGGCGTCTACGTGTCATTTGTCACGACTTGTTTTGTCCCCTTTGTTACCATTTGCACCCATTTGTCACAATTTGTTATCAGTTGTCACCATTTGTCTTCACTTTAACAATTTCAAGCTATTTCTTACCACTTGCTCATGTCTCAGTTTGACTCCATCGTTTCTATCAGTCATTATTTAATTCCAGTTCTCACCACTCGTCTCCGTTGTCATCATTTATCCCCTTTCCGTTTAACTAATTTTGACCGCATTTGTCTCCATCTGTCTCAATTTGTCAGATGGTGCCTAGGCAAACGTCATTTGTCACAGCTTGTTTTGTCTCCATTTGTTACTATTTGCAGCCATTTGTCGCAATTCACCGTAAGTTACCTTGTTACGGCGACAAAATTCTGTTACGGAGACAAAGATTGGCACAAACGTTCTCCATAAACAAGAAGCAATTTCTCGCTGCAGCGTGTCGCACTACTTGTTGCAGCAACCTATCGCCCGGAGTGATTTGTCGCAAGTGTTGCAGCGATATGTCGCCTGGGGTGTTCCGACCTTAAACCATAGCGAACTATTTGGTTGCTGGCCAGCTGTGATTTAATTTGACCGAATGTGTGTCCATTTGTCTCATTGCGTCATAGTGTGCCTACGTATGTCACTTGTCACGACGTTTTTGTTGCAATGTGTCACTATATGTTACCATTTGTCGCCATTTGCTACACGTCACGATTTGTCGCCAATTCAAGCTATTATAGGGAGTTTTAGAAACGACGACGGCGACGGCAACGAGAACGTCAAAAAGCAGTAGGTTTATTGAGCAAAACATCAAGTTTGCACGTGCGTCACACTTGTTTATATTTTTCTTTGCAGTTACTGCACGACTACGACGTGAAAGTGCCTAATTTTACGTTTTATGGAGGACGACTAAACGAGCGACGACGAAATTTTCTTTCTCTTTCTAAACTTGAGTGTAGTCCCCAAGAAATCAACTCCAGGGAAATTTGCCTACATAAGACATTTTCAGCGAATTGGAATGAACGCCAAAAAAATCTGAAAAAACGCTAATTCATTTTTGTTGACGGAGACTGAGTGGCCGAGTTGTCAGAACATTGAATATGCAATCTGGTGGCCCCCAAATTCACGTCCCGATTTGAAGTCCTCGACCACACTTCCAAATGACCAACTGGATTGCCTTTGCCATTTGGGATACCCTTGTTATGTTTATCAGAATTATTTGTTTCTGACATTTCCTTGGCCCCAATAAGCCTTTGTGTTATAAATACTGCCGAGGGTAAATAGCTGCTAATGAAGGAATTATTTTTGAGATCATTTGCAGCCATTTTTCGTTGTTACCATTTGTCACCATTTTTACCACTGGTCACCGTTTTTCGCCGTTTGTCGTCAGTTTTGGGTGTTTGTCATCAATTGTTGCATATTTTCGAACATTTGCAGCCATTTTTGCCATTTGTTGCCTTCTGTCTACATTGGTCACCATTTGCAGCCATTTGTCACCATTTGTTACCGGTCCCAAACTGAATGGATCGATTCTGTTCAACTAGAGAGGTCTACCCTTAAAGGGTCCTTGAAGAGGGGACTGTTGATCTGGGTTGGACCGGTCTTGTCGGAAATTTCCCGTTCCACTCGACCAATCCAGTTTTCAATAGAAGCGTTTCTGGATATTTCAGTCAAAGCTGAATACAGCAGTATCATCAAGCTGTCCGTTTCTAAAAAGGAATTAATAAAGACCAGTAAAAGGGATCGAGCCCAATTTCACTGGCTCAAAGGTCACGTGACAAAGGCCCCACACGTGTGGCTTGATAAGTAAACGTTTAATTTCTGCATTCGTATCCACCAGAATCTGGCGATAGTTTTGAGGTTTTCTCGTTCTGGTCAGATTTAACGATAAATTGAAGTTTTTCAGTTTACGAGCCCGATCCCCTTCGGCTGGAAATTGCGTGCGTTAAACGTTTCAACAGGTCCGTGCTAGACAATATGAGACGGAAATTCCCACTTCAAGAGAGGACGTTCTAGTGCCAGATTAAAGTAAACCGGGATGCTTGTTAAAGTATTATGAAGTGTGGACACTTAACTTTCAGTCACCACTGTGTTGAAAAACAAAAAGTTGGGAACTGTTTAACTTCTTACAAAAGGAGTTTTTCACTACTCCAAAATTTAATTTTGTTGGTAAGCGAATTTGTAGATGTCCTCTTGTCCCCAAGAGCGTCGCTGAGACGTTGCAGACAATTCTCCCAAGGGAGGGTCTCCACGAAACGCGGACGCTCAGTGTGCAAGTATGCCCCCTGCACCCTTTCCCTTAGCCTCCCACACAGGCGTTTTTAAGGGAGCTCGTATTTCATCCCTCCCCACATTGTAGGGGGGTGGGGGGGATGAACTACCACACCTGGGACTACGTTCCCTACGGCTCTACGAACAGTGCGTGGGTGTCACGTTGCGCAGAATTTGTATGTGCAAGGGTTGTGAGAAGGGCCTAAGGTTTATCGTCCCTATCCGAGAAGATTAGAGAGTCCACCCGTATGATTTTACCAAGGCAGCACTTTCTCCTCTGTTATTTAACGACCCTGAGTGTTGGTCCGGCCGGCGGGGTTTGAACCGGCGAACTCCCACACTTGGCAGAACGGCACTTATCCATTGAGCTAACCGGGCAGCGGGATACATGAATCATTTATCATATGCGTGGTATAAATAATGATTGACTGATTGACTTAGTGATGGTCTGAGTGATTGATAAGGAGTAAAGAGGCATGCAATGCTTCTACTTCCGTGAGATGTGCGAAGAAAAGTTAAAGTAATAAAGGTATCTTAAGGAAAGGCCTCTTAAATAGCGCAAGTAGGTAGCCATAGAGAGGACATATAGGAACTTCTTAGTATACCATGACTGCGTGCTAAACTTTTAATACTGCCGCGCAAGTCACTACAAATATATTGCACAATATGCCGTACCTTGCGCTTAAACGCCCTGCCACAAAATCACACCATATCACGTGCCTCGAAAATCACAGGATTACAAATGACCCGGAAAGCTTTCTCATCAAAGCCTTAATCGCTTTAATTATCTGCTCGATGACAGCAAAGATCAATAACCGCTAGCTCTTGTAGTGAGGTCAAATTCTGGTGTTCATTACGTGTCTACAAGCCTGCATAACAGGAGTGCGCGGGGACAAAAAGTGTTTTGTGCACGCTTTGTCCGTAAATAGCACGTTGTTTTCAAAGTACAATCGTAACGTTACATGCACTTGTATCGAGATATACAGAAATGGATGTATAACTCTTGATCGGCATTTTCAATTCCATTTTCAGATTATCCAAACACCCTGACATTTGGACATCCGGCGTAAAATCCGCATCCAGATTGAGTCTCAGCAGCATGACTGCTGTAGGGGCAACTGTGGTTACCCCAACAAAAGATCAAAAGAATTACAGCTTCGTTCTAATGAATGCAGGAGATTTCGATTGTCTCAATCCAAGCTCGTGTTTTGATACTTCAGGAAAGAGATGATTCCAGTCGACACACGAACATAGAAACTTTTGAAGCCGAATCTTTCTTTCTCGTACGTACTTATTTGCAAACCACAAATTAAATGCGGAAAAAATAACGCTACGTGACTGCCTTCCTTTTGGTCATGATTATTGTCCAGAAATTGGATTTTTCTTAGCCTCCCGTTCAGGAAATCCAAATCCGGATATTTCGTTGCCATCGCCTAAGTGTTGCGGGTTTCGTGCCGGATTACGCGCGCGTTGGCTTTCGCGCGAGGACCACAAAGTCTCGTGTCACTCGCGATTGGGTCCACCACGAGTATAACAAGTGCTGTGATCAGTTATTCTTGGTAAACATCGGTATGTATCTACGCTGGTGGAGCGGAACCAATAAAGCTAAATAACCTATAAATAAAAACCGTTTAAGCATAATAAACAATCCGTTTCGCTCAAGGAAACATACTCTCAACATCGGTGAATACGACACCGTGCTATGTCACATGCCAGTCGATATTGTCTTTTTGGTAGCCACGAGTCATCGCCCAGACAAGAATGAAATACAGTTCTGTATCCGTTTCTGCCGGCTTTCAAAGTGTTGCCCAAAACTTTAAATTCTGACGAAAAAGTACGACCATTCAAAAGCACTGCTGAAGAGGTCTCATTTGAAAGGTCACATCACAGAACTTTGTTCACAGTCTCAAAAGTTGGGTCTACGTTTCAATAATTTGTTTGGAGTGAAAACGTTGATGCGAGAGAGACATTCATCTCACACTTTACAGAGCAAACAGTGTTTCAATGGATCAGCTACAGGAAAGGCTGTAATAAAATACCGAACAGAGTTCACACTAAAAAATAGCTTTGGAATACGAACAAAATTACACTTTCAAAAGAAGCACTCAGGCAAATACGGTAAGGGCACGTTCGAAAAGAGGGAACGATCGTTGAAAGGTGGACTGATGGGTACTTCACTTCCCCACACCTCTCAATTATTATCGCCTTTTGATTCTAATTGCTGTGATTTTAAGATTAAAGCAGCTTAGAACTTTAGAGATTTCGTTCAACATTTAAATATTGCGAAGAGGCATTCATGGTTTGGTTAATTGTCCATTAAAGATATTTGCCCTGTGTTGAAAAACACGTGCGGTGATCAAAAACAATTTGGCTTCGGTTTGTTTTACTTTATATCATAATGCGAGAAATTGAAAAACCGATGGCAATAAAAAAGGGATTTGGACTCTTTTATCCTAAAAATCCCAACTTTGAAATCATTGCCTCATAAGCGGTACTTTTCAAAAAGAGTTTAACGTCATTACCCCTAATGAGCACAAAATGCCTAGTGAAGGATGGCAGTAAACGTACATAAACTTGGAACAATGCCCTATTGAAAAAATGCATTAATATCAGGCGTTAGAGCAGCTGCATTTCCGATGTACATGGTAAAAATCATACGGTTCTTACTTAACGATTTTGTGCAATATTTCTCAGTCGGTTTGTTTATCTATCTTAGGATCTACATATGACAATTGTGGCCAATCGATTGCGTTCCTCCTGACGAGTGCTTTCGTGACACAGTGAAGTCAGCCGGATTAGAGACTACCGCGCGCGCTTCATTCCAAGAGCTAGGAAGGATTACCGATTAGAATGACAAAATAGAGCGCCGTGTCCTCTAACACAGCGATTTCTCGCAGGGGTCTTTGAAATGGACGAAAAGGAAATGATACGATTATATGGTAACCACAATGAAGCATTAACAGAGCTGATGAAATGAACTAGATATGGCCAACCCTTCCGTCGTGCGTCTGGTATGGCTTTGGATGACTTTGGTCATCGCCTTGTACGACAAGCGTAGATTACAAGGTAAACTTTGTTGCACCTCCTTGCTATCTTAATTGAACGTCAGCCTTAACATGTATCTACAGTGTTTGAATGTTTTGATAGCAAAATCGGGGTTCCTTTCGGTATGTTTGGGGTTTTGAGGCCTTTTCATGATGAGTTGTGTGCGTTTTGTCACACTGGTTTTGTCAGTAGCATAGATTTTAAGGTAATTATGACATAACACTTCGTGCTCCTCTTTGACAGCAAATGCTCAGGCAAATGGACAAGACCCATCACAGCAGCTGCAAGTCTGCCATGAAGACCATGGAAGATGTATCAGGGATGCTACATTTCAAAACTGTAAGTTACGGCGGTTTAGAATAGCAAGATACAAATGCACCACCAACCGATAACAATCTTAATTATGAAGAACGTCTAAAATTACAAACGGGTAAAGAACTCAGCACATAATAAACGCTTGTAAGGATTTCATAGCTGCGAAGAGTTAATTCCTTTATTCAGTAATGAGTAGCTTCGAAGAAACTTAATAACAGTCGCGCGCGCTTGTTAAAGTTTTCAGGTACTAAAGCACACAAGAGAAACATTTACATCCAGACAACCTTCGGTAGGGTGCAGCTGACGGAATATGATTATCGCTTTACACACAGGCTAATTACTACAGCATTAACACGCACGGTGAACGCAAAAAATCATTAAAAATCTCCAGCCATTCACTGGCTTAAAAGAACTTTATTTTTGTGCATTTAGTCTGTTAAGTTACCTGCAAGGGGTTTTGACAGCAAAGAAAGGGGAAAAAATCACGTTTGTGTTTAAATCAATATTAGCTGATGCGGAAAGCATAAATTTACTGTTTGTCAGTGACAGAGATTCATTTCTAGAGAGCTTTTTATTCATAAAGGAAACGATTCGTTTAATCTTTGTGGAACAAACGCGTTTCGTTTTTTTGCTGTATTTTTATTACAGGGTTTTCCGTCAGAAAATAAGAAAAAAACTTGTTTGCCTTGTTATTCTAGACCGGAACGGAATTTTCACTTGCATTTAATTTTGAGATGTAAATTTGAATTACTTAAAATGTTTACAGTCACAATTAACGACGAAAAAAGACCACTTTATTTTCAATTTTCTTACAAGCGCAGGGTTGAAAGGAAATAAACAAAGCTTCAGAGATTCTTTCAGAATAAATATATGAAATATAAAGAATTTATAAAATAATTTTACGTAATAGTAAATAATTTTAAGTAATAATATTTACAAAACTTAAAGTTAAGTAAAATACTTTATAGCATTTGCTGACAAAATTTTCCATTCTTGTGACTAAAGAGCCATAGTTTTATCTTATAGTTTTTATTATTGCAATCTTTCGTGAGCCTTTTCTATATGCTACCAGAGTTTATGGTGGAAAGCACGCATTTAACCTTGTGGCGTTTTTATCAGATACTATATATACTATGACATGTCAGTAATAGATCACAGGAAATTAAAAAGAATAGTTGCAACACAAAAGTGAAGCAGAATGTTAAGATGTAACACTGTATAATTATGTTGAGGGGAGTTGGGGTTGACAGGTCTCTTTAATACTATAGACCACCAGCAATCCATGTTAGTAAAATTAAAAGGATGATCAAAATTCAAATGTTAAAATGACACCTGCTAGGGAGGAGGCGGGCAAAGTTTCTTGCAAAGTTCCAAGTTTCTTGCTTTGTTTTCCTTCACTTGCAGAAGCTCTTGCCCTCTCCTCTTTCATCTCTCTTCATTCTTAACTCTGATTGTCATCAATATCTCACCAGGCAAAAAGACAACTTACATCTTCATACTCACAAATATTCTTTTTCTCTTCGGGTACAGGGTCCTCAAATTTGGAGTGACATTCCTCTCTCACTTCGTAATTCAGTCACTCTTTCTACTTACAAACATAAACTGAGAGATTATTTTCAATCATTATAAGTTTAAACTAAGTTGAACTCCAATTTTTTTTCTCCCTTCAAACTCTTTTCTTTATTACTTTTTGCACACTATCATTAATTGTTATGTTTATTTTGCTTTATATACAGTAATAATTCTTTATATGTTGTAATAGTTTGCCCTTTCTCTGTAAATTTTGTACTTATTAATTTTTATTCTCATTGTAACTTAGCAGCACATTGTAACTCTCTGACCTACGCCATATAAGCCTCTGGCTTTGGCATCTTATTATCGTTAACTTGTGCTTTGTGTACTTATTTATCAATAAACTCACTTAAGGGGAGATCAGGGCATTACAAGTGGGGGAGTATGATGGGGATGGAAGGAATCCGAGATAATAGGATGTGGAAGGGATGCAGTGGGCAGAAGAGGAAAGAGTGGCAAATTGGAGTTTTAAAAGGGCGGTAAGCGGGCAAAATAGAGGGAAATTATGCAACATTGCTTAACATTTTGCAATTGAAAAGAGCTACAGGGAGGAGGAGGAAGCCAAGAAAAAAGGGGTGGGAGCTGGTAATGCAAGGTATGGGAGGCAGGACGTTTGGCATCCCCCCTGTACCACACCCTTCACATCATAGCACATGAGTAATGTATATGTTGTAGCCATTTTTTTATCCCAGGTAACTTTTATTTTTCCTTTGTTTCAACTTCATTAGCAAACATTACCATACCCAAAAGCAAAAGAAAAACAAAAGTTACCTGACATAAAAATTAACTACAACATGTATTTAAAGCATATGAAATAGATGTTGTACAAATTTGAATTTAATTCCCCAACAGGTTTGCTCAGGAAGGTGACAGGAAGGTCTGAAGACCTTTTTTTGGTTTCAGATCTGAGAACCTTAAGGCCATTTTGTGGGATTAAAAATTTGGTCTCATGTGATTCTTTGACACGTTAGAGTATTACATGTGATTACCCCCTTGGGATAACTTCTCTCACCTGCTTAGTTAGTGTGAACCCTCATTTGAGCTGTTGTTAGCAAGTAAGCTGTAATTAAAAAACAAGAGAGAAACTGATTATGTGGGGAAAAGGCAAGTCAATTCCTAATCAAAAGGTTCTTACCTAAACATAACAAAAATGACTTAAAAAATAATTTATTCAAGTTCAAACTGTCCTATTACAGCAAGCTGCTTAATTACACTGTCCTGTTTACATTAAAATTAGTGCCACACTGCAGGGTTCTCCATTAGTGCAGGCAGCCAGCTATAAATTGGAGGTTTGAGCCGTGTACTATTTGTGAAAAGAGGTAAAGTGAGAGAGTGAAAGCCTGAAATTGCCTTCAAAACCCATTTGACAAGCTGCCTACTTTTACATCCCAGCTGCTTACTTTCAAACTAAACGAGAACCCTCCTGTGCAGATTGTAGAGTTTCAATTCTTATAGTTGATTAACCAAATGATTATATGTACTATCCTGTAAAGGTTCAGAATCACCACATGCTCCGAAGATCTCCCACAAGGACCTTGTAAATATTACAGTCACCGTTAACACTGTAGCAAGATTTAAATGCGTGCAAGAAACACTTGCTGGAAGTTTGGACCCACCCCAATTTGACTGGGTTAAATGGAACCCGAACTATGACTCTGCTCTGGACATTGACCATGGAAAATTCACCATAATTGACATGGATTCAAAGTACACAATCAATCCAGATGCTGAAGGACATCACCATATTTCCTATCTTACAATTCACAATGTCACACTGAATGACAGTGGTTTGTACTCTTGTGTTGTGTGCAACCAGTATGGCAGAGATTACCGGACTGTCTTTCTCAGCTTGGAAGGTTAGCAAAAAAACCACAACTTATGCTGGGCCCAGTTGTTCGAAGGCCAATTAGTGCTTAACCCAGGGTTAAATTTAACCCAGATTTCTATTTCTTTTTTTCAAAAGCATTTTCTTGGATAATTTTCTCAATTATTATTAAGAGCATCCAATCATCAACTTGTTGACAAAAAAAATCAAACTGAAATCACTTTCTACGCTTTCATTTCTGAATTCAAATTTTGCACTAAACCTGGCCGTTATCTTAACCCAGCTTTGAACAACTCGGCCCAGGGCTCTTCCACACTAAGCCAATATCATTGGTTCAGCTCTGCCAAAAATACAGACTGCAGCTGATTTTTCCTGCCTTTATAAAGTTTTATTGTCATTCGGCCTTTACCAATAAAACTTCAAATTAGCACCTGCATAGTATGAGGCTGGGCACTTTGAACTAGACTTGGTAGGGGTTGACAATTTAGTAGGACTGAACTTATGGTAAAATGGAGAGTATGAGATCAGAGATATTTTTAATAATTTAAAATTTTGGCTTAGTGTGGATTGGGCCCTTTAATATAAACATTAAGAAATAGACCCTAACTCAATTTAATAACTGAATAATATAAATAATTTTATTTAATTACTTAATGGTTTGTTTGCAATTAATTTGTAGAGCAACTTATATGTAAAGCTATAAAAGCTTATATAGTTTACAGCTAAACTCTGTTTATATGGACACATTTGCGACTGCGGCACTTATAATTTTTTTTTATGAGAGATGCATGCTCACCTTATAAAAAGTCAAAGAAAATGACTGAAGAAAAATGAGCATGAATCGAAAATTGGACTGTCCATCTTAAGGAGGGGTCCTTTAACAGAGAGTTCACAATAGTACTTCAGTCTGTAAAAAATGATCACCCAGCAATCCATGTGCTTTTATTTAGGTTGGTACGTGAAGTGATAAGCTGTATTAAATAAGGTTTCAAAAACTTATTAATAATTCATGAAGAAAAAACAAAAGATATTAATGTTTAAGGAGTGTCTTAATTTATATCTGATAAAGACACAGCTAAACTTTATGTCCAATTTTGTTGACCAAAATGACCCCAAATCTAGATATTAGTGCAAGAAAAAGAGTAGACCTACATCAGAGATTTTGAAGCCATTCAAAAAACTCCCAGTTGTGAATTTTCAGGTTGAAAAACTCTCGGCTTTTTCGCCTCAAGTTTTTGAAACTGATAATACTGCACTCCTGCTTGTTTTTTTACACATTACATAATAATTTGATACATTAAAATAAAATATTCTTTTCCAACAGAATTCCCAAAAACAAAGGTTCGCTTCCTTGAATCTTCAACACGGGATTCAAGTAAACCAGGCAAGCATGAAACTTCCAACAGACTGTATGCTCCCCTCTTACTTACTTAGGGTAGCTGTAGTAGTGCATGTGTGGTAGGTCTTGAATTAAATATGGAAAACTAACAATCATTAAAATTTATTATTCTTTCCAACAGTTTATTCAACAAAGTCTCCTTTAATTGTTCCCTCAACACGTCCTGAACGTTCAGGGGTGAGCCAACAAACTGTTATTATTTTGGGCAGCTTGGGAGCTATGGCTGGGCTCATTGTGATTGTGTTCATGATCTACGTTGCCTGGAAAAAGCGAGGAGGAGGAAAAATGCAGCAGAATTTACCAGTGATTTTACAAGAGTCAAACTTAATGATTGAAGCAGAGGAAAATGTGCCTCCCTCTCCTACATACACGGTGTCAAATGGACAAGTTGCCGTTGCACGAAAGAGAAACAGCAGTTACAGATCACAGCTGTCATCTGTAGCATCTGCTGGAACTGTAATAACATATACAGATGGTATGATAACAAGCCTACAAATTTACTTATCAGGGTACAAAGAAAGTTATTTTTACACCTTGCCATTCTGGCAAGCTGGGACTAGCATATACTAGCCCAAATGTTTTGATGAGCAAAATTGATTTCACAGTTCTTCTGTAATTTGAATTCCTCAAAAACTTCACTTGCCCATCGGGCAACAAGTTAAGAACAAACTTCACTAGCCCAATAGCAAAATCCACTAGCCCTGGGCTACCGGACACTGCTTTCTTTGCACACTGCTTATTAATTAAAAATAATAGTTATGATAATGATAATAATAATAGAATTATATAATTACAATAGGGATTGCAGGGAAAGAGTGTATTGGACTCATGACGCAGGGGTCTTACTGCTAAGTAAGATCCTGATGGTTCATTTAAAGTGATATTTATAATACATGCATATCTTTCAGCTGAGTTTGAATACCCACTGGATGAGAAATGGGAGGTCCCAAGAGGATCAATTGCAATTAAGGAGCTAGCTGGTGAAGGTGCATTTGGTTACGTTGCAAAAGCAGAGGCCTTTGACCTACCTAACATGCCTTCACCTTGTATTGTGGCTGTCAAAATGTTAAAAGGTTAGGTGACATCATGACTATGTTGTCTAGTCCTAAATGTATGTTTGTTAGTTTATTTCCTTTTTTTAAAAGAAATTTATCAAGAGTCACACAGGAGGAAATGTAGGCAGATTCCGTAGCCACAGTGGGTAATTAATCCAAAGGCCTCGCCTAAGAAAATTTTGAAAAGTACAATCATTATCATTTGGATTAAAAAACCCAATTCATGCAAGCTAGGACATGTACATTGTATACAAAAAATATAAGGGCAAAAAATCTGTCTGTAAAAATGAGGTGTCCTCAGTTATTATATAAGCAGGTGTCCGTAAGGCAGGGTTTGACCATCTGCAACTGTCTGCATTGGTTAAAATTTGCCTTTTATGTTATCACCAACCCCTTTTTCTATATTATCATCCTTAAATAATTACATACATCCTTCTCCTAATTATGGCAAATTGCAGCAGGCATCAGCAACTTTTGAAACCCACTGTTAGTACATTTTATTGCGGGCAACAAGAGGAGCTGCAATCCTAATCTCCAGGTTGTTATTACGCATGCATGGCATGTATGTAGCCAGTATTTATTTGGACTTCCACTAAGAGTGTATGGAATGCAGAGAACACACCTTGATCATGGATCTTGGATCTTGGACCTTCTATCACTTGTAATCTGATCACACGTGTTTTGACCATCTGTCACATGAAACTTACGCAAAGCACAGCAATGGTGAAAAAGCATTTTTTCCAGGATGAGTTTTGACCTTCGATTGTTGTCGCCCGCACTCCGTAACCTTAGGTTATTACTAGTTAACTAATTACTGTAACTTTTAACTGGTTTACATTTAGGTAAACATTTCTGTACTAGCTGCTATTCCCGACACAATTTACTCATTTCTTAAGAACAAAAGTAATAACTGCACCTAAATTATATTTTTATAATTATTTGTTCATGTAGAAAATGCCTCTGATGTTGAATTATCTGATCTCATATCTGAAATGGAAACAATGAAAGAAATAGGAACTCACAAAAACATTGTGAACTTTCTTGGGGCCTGTACAATACAAGGTGAGGATCACAACAAAAGATAAAGCTGTCATTCATTCTTATTTATTTGCCAGGCTAAAAGTCACTATCTCATTTAACTCATTGCAAATATGGCATCTACAGTATTGCCTTCCCAGCTCTAGCAGTATGCAGGAACCATTAGTTTTAACTAGGTTCATTCAAAAATGGCCTTAGCCATCAAAAGTCTCTTGCAGCTCAGTGGTAGAGTACCTGGACTATTAACTACAAGTTCTTAAGTTTGACTTACTGTTAAAGTTAGGAGAACTCACACGTTTTTTTTCA